TATATATGTATATATATATATGTATATATATATGTATATATATATATGTATATATATATGTATATATATATATGTATATATATATGTATATATATATATGTATAAAAACTCTATTTGCTATGGCTGCTGTGGTTCAGCATCATAACTAGTGTTCAAAAAGGGAAGCAGCACAATTCTAGAATATTTTTATAAATATAATATATATTATGTAATATAATTTAGAAACTTTAATATTTCTGCTTTATTGCAATAAAATTAATTCTGTCTGAACAGTAACCGGTCTTTTAGAAATAAGAATGTTTTTCCATCTTTATATTCTTATTTTGAAACTGAATCCGGTACTTATGGACATAAAAATACGTTTCCATTTCCCAACCTACACTGCATCCTCAGTCCTGTCCTTGTTTTGACACCAGATAGACAGAGAAACAAGAAATATCCAGGCTTCAGTGCTTGTTTTTATTTAAAAAAAATACAGTACAATAAAATAGGGAATGTCTATTATTTTCTGGATACAAACATCTCTTAGATATATTAACTGAGTTGGAATTATTTCTCAAGATTATTTATAAGTTAAAAGACAATCTAAAACCAACTCATGTTAAGGCTTATATTTAAAAAAAAAATCCCATGCTGTAATTTCTTTAAATGCATTTAAAACACTTTCTCTACATTCCCTCCTCATAAAATAAAACATATAAGGACTGATAACTTAAACCTTTTCACAAGGACTGATTATGACCTAAACCTTTTCACTTTTCTCTCTCTAAAGGGTATTTGGGGTATGTGATTCCAGCTTTGCTTTTAACATAATGTAAGGAGCAGCAAAACTAAATTTGATCTGATTTCTGATAAAAAATCAGAGAAAAAGTCCAAAGTTCAGTTCCACGGACCCCAGAAAGCTGAAACATATTGCATCTCCTTAAAAAAAAAAAAAAAAAAATTAACTATTAAGTTTAAAATATATTCTACATGCCAGACCAACTAAAACCCAGCAAACAACTCCAAAACATTCATATAGAAGCTTTTCTATCAAATCAGAGGTAAAAAAAAGAAAAGAAAAAAAAAGTAAAAACTGGGTGGCCCTTCTACCTTACATCATAAAGCCATTAAAGATAATTGATCTAAAACTAAATTCTACAGATTACAACTGAACATCTTTGATCAGTTTTATTGTAAATCAAAATCAATTTATTCTATATTCACACCCGACCTTAAACCAAAAAAATATATATATATCTTTTGCAAGCATGAGCACCTCTGATATGTAGGGAAGAGGATTAGGGCCACTGAAAAAAAAAAAAAAAGTTAACAGATTTTTAAATTTTATTTCAGTATACTATGAGGAAATAAGTCAGAATTCAGACTCAATCTCAGAATTCGGACTCAATCTCAGAATTCTGACTTTTTTCTCAGAATTTTGAATTTAATCTCAGAGTTCTGACTGAATTCTGACAGCTAACAAACATGTTAGCATCAAGCCATGGCCATGTCTGTTTTAAAGACTAAACTATCTCTCTTGTTTTAATCAACTTCTAGTCTTCCATTAATGAAATAGCATCACCGGGGACCCCTCGGGCACGTAAAAAGTTACCTAATTCCGTCATTTTCCACCAATGTGTTACTGTTCCACCCAAACAACTCACATCTTTGTCAGTGAGGGTGAGTGCTAACCCTCTCTTCGTTCATGGTGCCCATCTACATTAGGATGCAGAATTGTGAGATTAAAGTCAGAATTGTGAGAATAAAGTCAAAATTCTGAGATTAAAGTCAGAATTCTGACTTTTTTTCTTATTTTATACTGAAATGAAAATTAAAAATCAGTTAACTTTTTTTTTTTTTTTTTCCAGTGGCCCTAATCCTCTTCCATAGATATGAACAAAGTGAACTGTGAAAAATGAACGCCTCATCCAAGTTCACCAGCTAAATAAATTTATACAAACAATACTCTCTTTTAAGTTTTATACATTAGCCTAGCCCCACATGATACAATATTTACACTTCAAGAGTCTTTGATTAGATTTTGGATTTTCCAGCGCTGACCAGTGCATTCTTGTATCACAAGAACCTTGTTTACAATTTCAAGGCATCTTTTTGTCTCCCGGTTCTTTAGCTCTTTTCCCTGGAACACAGAATTAGGTTCCAAAATTAACAAAATGTCAAGACATATCATTTTATTTCTTGCTCTAAATGTCATACATGTTGTGTACGTTTGAAGTGTAGCTCTTCTGGTCGTACCTGAGTGAAATCCCAGTATATCCCCATCCCTTTTTGCATTGCTTCCTTACAGTTGAACAGACCCGGCACAGTTTTCTTCTCCCCTCTATCAGTAAGACACCGGTTGTCGTTGTACTTGTGGGACTTGATTCCGCCAATGTAGAACTCACCAGTTGCACGGTAATATGTCATCTGTAATATCAGAGAGAAACACAAGAAAAGTGATGGAACAGATAAATAAATCAGTGATGAGAGGGATTACAGATTTTTGCTGCGTTTATCCCCTCCATACCTCTGTGTTTCAAGTTTTCAGACTAATTTGAACATTATACTGAATAAACCTGAGTAAAAACAAAACGTAGTTCTTATATTAAAAGGCAAAAGCTAATTGCTCCCATTTTTTAATCATTAAAGAATCATAATTAAGGTAGTTTTTGGGCTGATTGTTGTCTTGCAGGAAGGAGGTCTGGGTATAAATCCTGAATTCTCTATGTTTCCTCAAAGAACTTCCCCCAGTTCCACCAGGTATGGACAATGGAGGGAAAAATAATACTATTATAATTTAAAAAGAGTTGTTTTCAGCTCACCACCAGGCTGTAGTCAAGAAATTATGAAAATAGAGCCTGTTATTCAATGTGAAGGATAAAATATCCTAGCTGATGAGGTAATTATGCCTCTCTGTCAATAAATTACAAAAATATGAGAAACAATGCATGTTTCTCCACACTTGGAGAAAACATGAAGGTTCTTCCTATTAGAGACCGGCTAAAAGTGAGACTGGTGAGATAAACGTGGATCTTCTAAGGGGAGTGTGCCCAATTATATTCTGTAAAAAAAAAAATAAAAATAAAGTAAAATAAAATAGGCCTGTATTGTTTTTGCTTTGTAATGATCCAATTAAAAAGCTATGAGCCATCGGAGCTCATCAAAGCAAGCTCAGGTGTCTTGATGAAAACATAGTAAAACTAATTAAGTCAGTCTGAATATAATTTTTGTTCTGCATTTTGTTCCCAATTCATCAAGTTTACATGTGATTATAAGGGAGTTACTCAGAGGAGCTCCAGTTTTATAAATACAGGTGTATAATATTTTATTTTTCATTTTTATTTTTTCAATTCCTTACTAACTTCCAGGCAACATGCATACATTATCAGATGGCTGCACCTGAAGGCAGCGGCTTTTTATAGTTCCAGACAAATTCACAAAATACGCTGATTAGAACGCTAAAAGCTAGATGTTTCGAAGTTCCATATCAATGCATTTTTGGCACCATGTTTTCCTACCACACTGTTTACATTTGGTCAATGCTCCACTTCATGGAATGGAAATTTCTTTTATTGTCTGAAAAACTGTACTAAACAAAATTCCATTTTGTATAAACTAGGCGTATACAAAATAACAATAAAAGTTGTTTAAGTCTAAGATGGAAAGCATAAATTTCTAAAAATTAAATTCTCAATTTAAAAGATTAATTAGTTTATTAATAGATTAATAGTCTGCATTTCAGTGATTCTATGTTCCACTTTTGGAC